CATTCGCAGACAAAATAAGAGTACATAAAACGTGTACTTGAATTAACAGCACACTTAAAAGAGAATTCGGCAGAACCCAACACAAACATTAGATGTCTGTGAGTTACAGTATTCGAGCAAACTTCATACATTTTAATATGCCGTGACATCATACATATTCATGTGCTTCAGATGTGAAAGAATGTTTCCAAAAATTGAGTTTCACGTATAATTATGACACAAGATGAGTTTTTTTTTAAATTAAGTGAGCACATTTATTGCACATCATTTTTTAAGATGTTATTTCAAATTAGTTAAAAAAAGGATATTGGTTAAATTGTGAATTAAAACAGTAAAATTTCTCAGTGCACGTTTGCCGAACTCTAAAGGACCACAATTTCGTTCATTATTTTTCTCAATTTTCTGTTTACAAATAAAAAGCATTGAATAGCACCAACACCAACTAATGAGAAAAATCGACATAAAAATATTTTTTGAAGCTTTACGAATTATGCACCGTAACGACGCCCGGACTTGTTTAATTTGATTACTGCTTTTGTGAAAATAAAATGAAATTCAGTACAACTGGAAAATAACACTATGATTTATCGAGTAGATTTAAATGAATCATATTTATATTTAAAATACATCCGGTCCATAGTAAAAAAAGTAAAGAATATCTTTGTGGTTTTTTTTAATAAGTAATGGCCTGATTGTATACATGGAAAAAACAAAAGAGTTTCTTGTTGATTTCATTGCAATTCTAGTGTTTTAAAGTTGTCTTCTGTAAGTTCTTCAACACCGTTCAAGAAAGTTCTAATTGAACTATGCAAAATTATAATTTCACCACATAATAGAACACAAAGCGTGTAACGTGGGAAGTTAATCTTATATTCAAGTAGGAGGTATATAGGTTACGATTGTTACAGTTTATTCAAGACCTCGGCAACTCGAGCGCTCCAACATTGGATCAAGTGAGTAATTTTTGATGAAATCTGTGAACAGCAGCTCCGAAGTACGAGTGTAATAAATGAATAAACCAGTGAATTATATTACATACAATTGCAATTGTTACTTCGAATTAAAAGTATAAAACAATCCTACTTTCAGCTTCATTCTTAGAGCTTGCATTCACCTGGAACTAATCTATTGCACAACTGTTTAGTCTTATATGGATTACAATGAGCTTAAATGGAGGTACGCATACTATTCGATTTTTAATTGTGCAACTAAACAGTTGGCTTGGCTGAAACAATCGACGATCGCACAACTGTCGTGCGATAGATGAGTCAAAGGTGTGCGCCTGCTCTAAGTTCTACATTCGAAGACATTTGTGGCGAAGCTCACATTTTACTACGACTGAAAACTTGTAGTAGCGACATGTACATGCTTAGTACGTTTGCTGTACTATATTCGTACCGATAGTACAGCAAACTGTAAAAGTAAGAGACCGAATTTGATTCGTTCAATATGTACTAGTAACATTTAATACTCGAGTATAATACATTGTTTGAGTGATATGCACTTAGTACGCTTCCTGTACCATATTCGTACCTATAATACAACATAACTACCAGTATGAGAGAGTGAATTTATTTCTTTCACTGTATGTACCAATAACCTTTAATTCACGAGTATAATTCGTAGCGTTTAATACACATTAATACTTAGAAATTGTATAGCAAATATGTGTAGAACACGGTTCACTACTCATCAATACTCAAAGCGCTTATTACGCGGATCACTAACCATTACATTTCGAGTTATAAATCTATATGCTTTAGTTTTTCATCATAGAGTATTTTCTAATTAAAAAGTAAAATATGGATGTTTGAAACGAATACTGGAAACATTTCATTTGAAAATGCTATAGAAAACTGATTTTAATAATGACTTACAAAAAAAACTGTATAATTATATACAAATATAGTCGCATGTCTTAGACAGTACGAGGAAATGTAAGAGATGATATAAATTTTAACAGGTTAAATGGAGACACTTTCAAGACTGTGATAGTGAAGCTAAAACGAATTTAAGTTTTAATGGCTCCAGTGTTCGTACTGGCTGAAGAAATTGGGTTATTTATTATGTTTAAGTAATTCAATTTGAAGAGATGCGACAAAAGAGCTAGAGACGTGAAGGAACTCGTATAATCATACTAATATTATGATTGCGAAAGTTTAGATAGATTGATGGACGTTAGAGGTTCTAGCTTAACGGCTGAACGAATTTCGGTGAAATTTGTTACAGTTACTACTACTCACTTTTTTTTTAATTCCACGAGGACAGAGTCGCGGGCGAAAGCTATTAATTATGTAAAACCGATAAACTGAAAGCAATAATCTAAATAATAAAAAAAAAAACTTTACAACACAGTGATGGTATTTTATAAAATAAATATGTATCTTTTGCACAATTCACATCTGTAGGTAAACATCAATATGCAAATCAATATCGGCCTGGATTAGAAACAAATAAAATTTTTGAGCTGTATTCCGAAAATCCATAACTGTGACAAAAAAATGCAATTAACATTAAATAAAAAAATCCATATCAATGTGTTCATATTTCACAGTTACTTAATTTATGTTAATTTATTTCACATGTAAAAGCATTGGTAAAACGCAACAAACAACGGGCTAATTACAAAAGTTGCATCGTGAACCAACGCTGCGGCTTACAACGACCACTCAATTTGTTTCACCTTTGCCTTTAAGCCACTATTGCATTATCTTGCCTTGGAAATTTAAATCGAATAACCTTAACAACATACACCGTAATAAACCCGCCATATGCGTATAGATATTCTAAAACAAATGAAACCAAGTCTTCCTTTTTCTTTTAACTTTAAACTATATACTAGACGTTTATTTTATTTAGCAGAACTGATGCAATTTATAAGTGGAGCTGTTTAGGAATATTGCTTAGCATCTTTCTGTCCGATATACATATGTATTGCAAAATAGCATACAGAGAATAGTATAGTGGCGTAATATTGGGGAAACGCTCTGTTAATCCCCGACCACAAAGTACAAAGCGTGTTTGTAAACAAGCTTATTGCTTTCAAAGTGAAATTGATGCGACTGTACACAATGGCCGTAATACACGAGACAAACGATTCGATGCAGATCCGATATAAACTAATTAGTTTGTTATCAGCTCACCAGTATTAAGAAAACCATATAGTTAAAGAAATAAAATCAAATGTATTCTTTATCTTCAGGTGTAGCTATAAATTATTATTAGTAATAATTACTATTACGTCATAAGTAACTAGTATGACAGATATCTTGCTAGTTACATGAATGTGATTTTAACTATTGCCTAAAACCAGTCTATTATGAAATATCGATGTTATGATTTCTGCTATCTTCTATATCTTTACTTCTATACTTAATATAATAAAGCGTAAACATACACTACTTTGTGAGGTAAGATATCAGTAATCAAAGCATATTTTTTAATAATTCTTTCTTTAATAAAAAGCCCTACACTCATGTCACGCTTTAGGCTCTTTATGGTCACGCTCTTAAACATAGAAGTACTTAAATGGGGTAAAAACCTTAGTGTGGAAAAGGGGCCATAAACTACAAGCTGCCAACATCAAGGAAGTAAGATTGCCATGGTTGTCATCATGACATGTCATTTTGACATTTGCAATTGATAATTTGACAAATTTAATAATGTCACAAAATATTCACAATTTCATGCGGATGAAACTGCAGGGGAACAAGTGTGTTAAAAATGTACAGAAATTAATAACAAGTATTAGATTTGTTAAGCTTTAGATATTCTATATACCAGAGTATTGTATAGAGATGTTAGTGTGAACTAGTAAGCCACAACGGCGAGCAACTTTCTTAATTAACTCGCTTGCGTGAAGGTAATACAGATAGCTTATTATTGTTACTGAAGGCAACATTTTTCACTACTCTATTACCCAATGAATATTATTCGTGTATACGAATCGACATATCGTTTATACTTAAAAAATTCTGATGAACGTTAAACACAAAAATGTATGTAAAATTTTTAGAAACAGCTGAATTTCTCTTGTGCAATAAAAAACGGCTTAATACTATTAAATATCCATTTCCTAGCTCGGGTCAGTCAAAGTGATTGATGTTTTCACAACTTGCTACAATAGCACGAAATGTGTTTGAAAAAGTAATTACTAAAATTTCATGCAAGAAGCAATGGTTTGGGCGTAGGCTGTTTAATTTGTTTTGACGGAACACGAAGGTAATTTAAAGGAGATTTTTAGCTGCAGAGGGGAAAATAAAAGAAGGGGGAATAGAATTTTCTCATTGAAAAAATGTTTAATTGAAAATAGTAGACTTAATATCCGATGCATGGAATGATACTTGGAATATTAAAGCTTTACGTTTTCCCGGACAGAAGTGCTCCATACGTATGTACGGTGGCATTCAATCTCTCATATATTATTAACTGTGTGCATCTGTGTATATAACATATATTAAACTTCCCGAAAGCTACAAGCAAATTTTAATTTACCCTTCCTCACAATATTGTTCATTTGAACACTCAAGCTGAAGCTTCAATATTCGAGCGGGCTCTTTGTATCGGGCGCATCTATTCATTGGATTCTCGAATCAGCAGTTGACTGCGCCGCACAATATCGGCCGGCCCTTGTAAGTTGCTAGCTACTAGCTGACGACAAATTCGTACGATTTAAGTTCTCAATGGAAACGCCAATTTCAGCTAAAAGCTTTCGGTGCTGCACTTTTACAAATTGACTGTTACATTTAGTCGATGTAGTTTATACAAATGTACCAGAAATAGTACTCGTAACTTCATATAAATATAAAGTATGACATAACCCAGTATAAAACGTTACTAGTGTTATTATTATTTTTCGTTTCCACGTACGCTCCGAACTCAACCACGGTACAATTATATATTTTTTGACCCTATAGAATTCTAACCTATATGTAGATTTGAATAATCAAAGCTGGCTAGTGAATTAAAAAAAACAATGAGTGAAAACGTCAGACTGACTTTTAAATGATTATAAATTTCACTTTAATATTTATCAACATAAAAACAAAATTCTCGTAATACCATGTATTTAATTTCAAACCCATTAAAATATACTAAATGTCTTAAACCGACGCATAGGTTTGCGGATTTTAAAGGGAACGATGAACACGACTGCTACTCGGAGAATTATATCAAATGTTTTTGGGATATATGCGACTACCATAAAAGCATAGAAAGTTTTGTTACCAAGCCAAAAGAACAAGGTAAATTAGATCGTTACTTACCCTGTTTGTAGGGGATCGTAAACAGATCCAGGTTTAGAATTAAAGTCGTTTAGAAAGGGGGTATTAAAATGCAAAATGTTGAACTGTAGCTGAACATTACATAGTATTTTTTTTTACAGTAATCGTACAACAACCGAGAAGGCAACATAAAATGTTATGAAGAAATAAATTCAAACTTAAACTTTAACCTTTGAAGCCTAAAATGGACACTGGACTATGAAAAATAAAATAATTATCAATAAATATCATTTAATAAACTCTACATCATGTAAACTTTTTTGATTTCTATATAATACTTGTCGTACATTCATATTTATTCTGGATTCTTTTACATATTTTCCAAACAAATTCCAATCATCTTCATCTATATTATTATTCATATCACTTATTAACTGTTGCTTATCTGTGATATATTTAAATGTTATTGGTTTATCAACAATTTCTTTAGAAAATTCCAGATTGTTCCATGGTTCCGATGTTGCTGGTACAATTTTTGGTACAGCATGGTATGAGAGACGTGCTTCTTTCGACATAATGGCAATATCGCCACTCTCAAGCAGAATTGCAGATGGTGTTACACTCTTCTCTCTTCCCCCAATTAAAAATATTGCTGATTGACCAAAACTGTAAAATTATCAATATTTGATTTTAAAAAAATGAGGATAGAGTAGTTTTATCTGTTATAACAATCAATTTGAATGATTAGGTGTTAATAAAATACACTAAATATAAATATAAACCTCACAAAAAATATGTTATACACAGCAACTGCTAGATTAACTTTTTTATTTTAATTATACATAAAAACATCTTTAGCCCAAACTGAATCTGGCTACATGCATCCTATTGTCGCTGTTTAATAAAAGAGAATGAAATTATTATTGTTTTTTATATTACCTAAAAGAGAACAATGGAGCTTCCAAGTTAACCTCAGAGTGATCAGTATGTGCCGAGAGAGTTGAACTCAAATGGTAATAATTGACAATTGCAGCCTCCGCTTTGAAATCTTCATATCCCAGATATTGTGCCATGCAGTCACAAAGTTCCGCCAAGTCTTCAGGAAATACTGATTTGTTGTCTTCCCTGTATATCTGTAATTATAGAACGAATTATGTTGCAATTTTGAAATGTAAAGATTAAATATTAATTCAAAATATAAAGTCATAACAATGAAATACTTGATATTAGTAAAGTGAAGAAAAAGGCATGTTTATAACTTGGGAGGGATTTCCTTTAAATGTTTTTGTAAGGAAGAAGGGTAGAAGCCCAGGGGATTAGATTCCCATTAATATCTACAGAAGCAATAGAACTGTGAGTATGTTAATTTTAATTCCTTCCATTTTATGACATCAATATTACCATCTGTTGTAATTCTTAATATTTATAATTAAACAAATTAATATTAACTTTGTACTTTAGTGTCCCAGTTGTGATGATATCCAAGAGTTGTCCAACGCATCTTCTTAAGTAACTTTACATCACATTCTCCTTTCCTATAACATTCTTTCCACCAATCATTTAGAATTATTTCGATATCCAAGTTGGTTTTATTTGGTTTTCTAGAATACTGTTCTAAACATTTTCTTATCCAATAGCGCTGGCCCACACTTGTAAATGGGTTTTTAATAAGCAGTAATCCCGGATGATGTATAAATTTATAAGTCTTCCACACATTTGCTGGTTTTAAACCCAGAAACTCTGTTCTAGCATCATCAATAACATAGTTAGGAATAAACACCTCAACCTGAAATTTAATTTTGTCAGAACATGAATACTAATAATCAATAAAATGCAATTATTAATTTAATCTTTAAGTTCTCAAAAGATTTACCGAAACGTGTTGAACACATGAGAAATTCTTATGTAAGTTACCATAATACATAACCTACCTTTTCACTAACTCTATCTTTTTTGAATGATATTACATTCTCAAACGATGGCTTGTTATTGTTACCCTTATAGTATTTAAAAATATGCATGAAATTATTATCGTTAACTTGATCAATTGTCCGCTTCATGTTCATTAGTTGAGTTAACATGCATAGATTTTCAATATTGAATAAAACTTTTACAAGCAATATCTGTTATCATCCTTAATCAAATTCAATTAGTGCGATAAAAGAGAAATCAATAAAGAAGACATATTTTGCAAAAATGTGTTTTGTTTTCATTTGGTCCTATAAATGACGTCAAAAGCTAACGTCACTCGAAATGTCACCTATTAGTGACTTTTGTCAGTAAATCAAAAAGATTCTGTGAAAGGCATACGAGAAAGGCAAACGTGTCCAGCACTGAGCAGGCAAAAGTTTATGATGACGATGATGATGAAATCAAAAAGATTTAATTGATTTACATATCCGGCATCCCTTGTATTTCTGCTCCCGAGTTTTATTTACATACTCTACACTTTGACCCGAAGCCTGGAATTGTCAATTGTCAAGTTTGTCAATGTTATTTTTTTTGACAGTAAAAAATATAATAACAATAAACGAGTAATAACAACTTATTTATATTATAATGCGATTTACATTTACGTAAGTTAATAAATCACGAATATAGAAAAAAATGAGTTCTACGGAAATACAAACAACAGAAAAAGTAAAGTGAAAAACATAACGTATTAGCAAAGACAATTGCCTAACAGGGACGTTGTTAATTTTGTTTTATTTTCAGGATAATGGAGAAATCGACGGTAAGACGAAATTAAGAAAATGGTTAAACATGAACTTTAGAATTGAGATGACTGACGGAAGGGTGCTCATAGGCGTATTCCTCTGTACAGACAGAGATGCTAACGTTATTTTAGGTAATAATACAATGAAATGGACCTACCTACGACATATTGGACTACGACGACCTATTAAAAAGTTATCTGGTTTTATTTTAGGAGCTTGTTCTGAATATCTGAAGAGTAATGATGGTGAAACTGAAGAACCAAGAGTTTTGGGTCTAGTCATGGTACCAGGACGCCACATCGTATCAATAAAAATTGACGACACAATGGACACTACTGGCCAAAAATACTATTACGAAGAGTAACCTCAGCCTCATTAGATTTATTTGAAAATGTAATTTATTGTGGTAAGTAATAAAAAGAAGTTTAATTCATATGTTTTATTATTATTATTCTTCCTTCAAATGTTTAATCAGATATTTCACTAATTCAACTTCTTGATAAATATTTTTAGTATCATTTGAAAATGGATTAAAGTTGTCTGAATTAGCATTATTAACTGGAGATAATAACTCCATCAGACCATGGCATATTAAATCTATGCTAATTTTAGAGTCATTTAAAATAGAGTTCAGAAATTCAGAATTCAAAATACTTTTTAAACATACAAATGGATGTACAACTTGTGATACATTTTTTATGTTTTTATAATAATGTACACTTAAATTTCTTACACCTTCATCCTCATCTTGCAATAGAATAATTGCAGTCTTAATGGATAAAACTTTAATTTCATCTGAATATTTGCTTAATTTACAAGCAATTTCATTATTAGCTATCGCAGAAATTGTTCTCATATCTACGTCAAAATCTTCTGATATTAACTTGTATGTAACTTTACATACAACCAATATGATATCCTCATTGTCAGTTATTCTTGCAATAAAAGGTACTATATACCTTAATTTATAAGAAATGCATTCATTTTTAATATATTCAACAATGTCAATTATATGTTCCTTAACATCAATATTTGTTAAACAAGATATTTTGTATAGAATCTTCCAAATAATGCAACTGTACATTCTCTTTGGAAATGATAGTAAAATATTTGATATTTTTCTGAGTGTGTCTCCATCGCTAGAATCGAGTCTTGTGTATAAAAATTCACATTGTTTTTCATATTCACTGTTGTTTAAAACTAATTGTACACATGTAGGTAATTCATATGATGAACAATTTTTTACATATTTACATATTAGTGTATTCATCCATTGATATTGTCCAGGTTCATTTGTGTTTTTTTGTAGTAAAATTGTTTCCAAATCAGAAACCTTATAATCTTTTTTAGTAAAATGTTCCATTAATTCTTTACACAAATAAGAATGGTGTTTCCCTTGTGTGATTACATTGAATTTATCCTTCAATAATTCAAGTTGGTTTTGATGTTTTATATCTTTGTAATAATCTATACAAATTACCAATAATATAAGAGAGCCGTGTAAGAAATTTTCATTTGGTACCTCTATTTTAATAAGTAATTCATAAATATCGTTAAATGAATATATGTTGAATATAGACTTTGCGGTCAGCCGTCTTATTGCATATATTGGGCTTCCTAATAATAAGTTAAGATTTTTCAACAAAATATTATCAGTCTCTATTTGAGATTTCAAATCATTTGAGAAGTTATGTCTCTTTGCTATATTACCTAGGATATTTAGTATTGGTAATAAATTGGAATGTGATAGTAATATATCTTTGGTATTGTTTAATTTCAACTGCTCTAATATAAACAACCATAAGTTAGGGAAATGAGTACGAAATTCATCACAAGCCACAGTTGCTGTGACTTCGTCTTCTGAACCAGAAGGTTTCTTTTGGCCTATTAATTTAGGTATTAAACCACCATATAATTGAAGTGCTGCATTTCTGAAAACGATAAGATATGAATTAGAACCTCTTCTCTCATTGTGAGCCTTGCCAAAAAGAGCTAGGGGCAGTACTTGTAATGAATTATAAAAAAAATTATCACTACCCACCCCTCTAAACTTTGTTTAGACCCTTGTCTGTCATGAATATAAAATAAAGTTACCTTATTTGCCAATGTGGACTTGTGAGATTATTAAATGCAAGTTCAGCTAATTCAGCGCAATAATTCATAACTTCTGTAATCAGACTGCTATCTGTCACTATTCTTGTTAAAAAATGTATGTACACAGCCTTTGGTAGATCTTTTTCGTTGTCACTATTTGACGAATCTTTCACATCATCGAATGTTTTGCAAGTCTCTAACAAGGTGTTGATAAAATATTGGAACAGTGGCTGAAAAATAAACACAAAATGTTGATACGTAAATTTTAAAATCTTGAATATACCAAGTTTGCTTCTTATGATATAAAAAATACTAACCTTATTTTTTCGCATATCATTACTGACAATTCTATGAACCATGATCGATAAACCTGCACCTCTTCTTGTGACAGATGCCATGCTATTTGCTTCCAAAATTAATTCCTCAAGTTTTTGTTTTAATAATGATAATGGTAGGCTTGAAAGATGATTCTCAATAGGCAAAGATGTTAAACATTGTATACCATCACCTGTAATAATAATAAAGTAATTTGTTGTCTGGAGAGTCCACATTGGTATGTAAAAGTACATAGTATTGTTTTCATATATCGTGGTGGCACTTAACTTCACGTCGCAGCGCCGAACATAATCCTAGTTATTAAGTAAACACATTTTAATTATTAAGATAGTATCAGTAATAACACACCTAAAGCAACTCCAGCTGCTTCTATAGCTCCTTTGTGGCGGGATGTCTCAAGAACTTTTGTAATTACAAATAAAGATTTTTCGCATACATCTAGATGGCTATCTGAATTACAATATTTAATAACAAGTGCAGCCAATTCACAGGATGCCTATAAAAATGTTATTGCATAAAAAAAATGATTAAAACACATTGCACAAACTAATATTAAAAGTAATTTAAAAAATACCTTCACATTTAACCATAGACAATTTAGGACGATTTGTTCTAATCCTGTAATTTTAGTGTCATCTTCATTATTACTCGTACAACCGGAGTTTTGTATAATTTGTCGAACCATATCATTAATTTTAGAGAAATCTGAACTTGTCGAAACTCCTTCTTCCCAAACAAACTGATTAGATACCACATTTAAAATGTCTAACAAAACCCAAATAGTATCTTCAGTTATTTTCAATTTGTATGAATTTTTAAGACATGCTTCAAATACAGCACATATTATGCTCATGTATGAGTGTAACTGTTTTCCATTTTCAATTGACTTTACAATATCTGTTTTTAAATTGTATTCAGATAAGAGCTCATTGTAGGCAAAAGTAAAAATATCTTCTACATTTTGAAACATAGCTGCATTTACAGATTCTTTTAAAAACACATTAGCTAATAATTTGAACATGCTTTGACCACAGTTTATCTCATAAAAGAATTTACTCTTAATTTTAAAAAGTGCATTATCAATGATTTGGTTTATTACAACTGACTTTTTTATTTCATTTTTGTAATGTCTTAACATTAATTGAACAACATTTTCTCTTATATCATCCGCTGGATCATTTAGCAAACTTATCAATTTGTTAATAATGTCTTCATTAAAAAGGATCCAATGTTTATTATCAGATATAAAATCTATTAATAAATAATTGATTTGCTTGAATTGATTTTGTTTTTTCTTCGGAAACTCAGTGAAACAATTCAATAGTGTAGCTACTATTTTTATAGTCGTAATTTTACGTTGATAATTTCCATTTAAATTCAATGAGAAAATTATAAATTCTTGCAGTTTTATACAAAATGATAGTAGGTTTTCTTTGATTTCGAATTCTTTTTGTGCATTATTTAAGTGTAAATTTTGCAGACGGCTCAAAAAGTTCCCCAAACTGTTTAGCATGCTCAATCTTAATAATGTGCAATCAGAATTAACATTATCGGAAAGAAAATTTAAGATTATTTCATATTCAGTAGTACTCGGCCAAGATTTTCCATGAGACACACAAACTATATCAAAAGCTGACATTCTAATTTGAGGATTGCAGTGTTTTATGCCACATAAAATATTTCTTTCAACCTCTGTTAATGTAGTCCAATTCTTTTCAAACAAATTAAGTTTGTTACATTGCTTCGCAACATTCAAAATGCTTAACATTCTTTGTTCTGTGTCCTCATAGTTTTGTAAAGAATTTATAATCATCATACCAACAGATGGAAATTTCTTTAATGTATTTAAGCACCAGTAGTTATTGAAGTTGTCTTTTGCTTTTTGCGACATACAACAAAGTACTTCTGTAATTTTATCTAAAAAAACCTTTGCCCATTCATCATCGGAATACATTTTTTTCAATATTGAGTAATACATATCAGCACCTGCAGACACTAATCCAGATCTATTTAGACTAAGTAAAAGACCTTCAACTAAGTTGTATCTGTCTACAAATGTGATCAAATTACCCTTATATTGGTCTATGATTTCAGAAAACGTTAAATATTTAGCTTTGTTCCAGTAAAAAGCGTGAACTTCTTCTATTATATCCTTTTGCATGTCATCATCACTTACTTCAATAATAGATTGTAAAATCAATTTATTTAAATTTCTCGTACCATTAATTGAATTCTCCCAATTATGATTCACTAAGTTCAACAATCTTATTTGATTGTGTTTTGAGAATACAATACTTTCTAAATTTGTTCCCAACACTTTCTTTATCAATATTAAAACTTTAAAAACTACTGTTCTGTAATGTGAATATTCATAAGCCATGTCAATTAATAGATTCATCATAGAATTGAGGATATTATTTAAAATGCCATATTCATAGTCCTTTTGCGCTAGAAAATTGGATTGAAACATTCCGTAAGCTATTGACAGTTTATTTCCTTTGTCTTCATTTCTTTCATCAGTTTTATTTAATTCTTCTAAAATACTTTGTAGCATTAAATTTATAAAATCACTGTCTTTATGCATACCGAGAATGGTATAAAAGCATGTTGAACAAAGTAATTGGTCATCAAATTCATTTAGTCCAGTTTGTAGATGGTTCCATAGTTTTTGTGCTGTCTTGCAGAATTCCAAACTATCAGTACTATCATTTGATTGACACTTTTTCTTTACTTTCAGTAATACTTTCTGTAATAGACAAATAAAACCAATTGTTAGTCATATTTTAAGCACATACTAATCTGCAATTAATAATTTTTTTGTTATTAAATAATTTAAAAGACGGTCACTGCTAGGTTTGCCGGATCTGAACAAGAAAAATTATTCATATCACTATTTTTTACAGAATCATGTAGAAACTAAAGTTATCTTGTTTAGGTGTTAGACAATAATAAATAATGCACCTGGTACTAAAACTAAATTTTTTGTTTAATGTCTTTAGTTATCTTAAATTTAACTAAGGTCAATTTAATTTTTCAATATTGATATTAAATAAAGAATATAAATCACCTGTAGTGCTTCTGTATTCAACATAGTTGTAGGTACTTCAAGACTTGATAGAATACTAATTTGATCCTCCATTTTCAGTGAAGGAATAACCTATAAGAATAAAATCAACAACCATAAGGTTTATAAAACCAATAAACTAAGAAAGTAAATAACACTTTACTATTTTCTTATTTCTTCATTGGTAAGACTTTAAAACTGGTAATAACTCTTTTTTTAAATCAAATTAACACAGATAATTTACATATGTAAAATTCAAAATGTGTTTATTTCAAAATTTTCAAGAAGTATGCAACACTTAGATTATAATTAAGACGCTCAGCCACTAATCTATAATCATTACTGCAATTTATGAATATCATAACTTGCTTAGTGTAAAATGTATTTTGTACATTAGTGAGGAAAAAATTTCAAATTTTATAAAACAATTCTAAGAAATCTCACAGAAAAATTCATCAATTTAACTCTCAAATTTTATAAACTGTTTTTATTTATATTTGCAAAATACATTTTTATACTTTTTCATTATCCTAGTACTACAATCATCTCATTGTTTTAGTAAGCTTCTTGAATGATATAGGGACCTCATAGACTCTAATAAAACTGAGAGAAAGCAGAATGATTTAGGAATTTGAATGTGAAATGTGTGAAATAAAAGGCCATTTCTTTATTAATAATTTAATAATCTACATTATCTATATATACAACAAAGGTTATTCAAATTAATTTAGCTTTCTTTGATGGGTTCAAATCCCTCCTTCTGCATTTTCTCTTTAAATAAATCATAGTCCCTTTTTCTATCAAAATGTGTAACCCATTTGGGTGGGCATGACTTTTCAAATATCATTCTGTATTCTGTACACTCTTTTGGTATTCTAGAGCTGTCTCTGATGTTGTGACTATCTAAACACTCCCAATAACGATCTCTAGAATCCCAACAAGTCTTTCGCTGGGCTCGATCGGGGAATGACATTTTTCTTCCTAGTATGCAGTAGTAAGTACCCTACAAGGACAAAAGAAATTTTGAAATTATTCGAACTAGTTAATCATAATGATTCTTTTGACAAAAAAGTACTGCCGCACTTTTTAAGAATTAAAAATTAAAAATTTTGTGACTTCGCACAGGCACTAATAATGTTTGTAATCCTCGCTAAAAATATCTGAATTTCCTATTTTATTACACAGCATTTTATTGTTTTGATCTTTAAAAATGTCCTTGATAAAATGAAGAAGGAACTTAAGTAATGTCTCCGATAGAAACCTTTCAATGTAATTTATAATTGTAACTTTTATCGATTATTTAGATACAAGGGAATAAAAGGCAACTTACTTTAGTAATAACACTAAGAAGAGTCCTGACTATGTAGAACTGGTTTAATCGGAATAAAGCATCAAAAATTCAAAATCTAATACGGCACGGAAGTAATTATATTCGGAACTTTTAACCTGAAAACCTATAAATTCAAAGATAAAATGTTCTGTCAATGTCACTAAGTGTCACAGAAAATATAATCTAAGAGAAGAAAAAAAAGGCCAATGCAGATTATAATCATGGAGCACAGATTTAGACGCTTTTAATATTTTTGGTTTCGATGTCACATAAATGTGAAGAGATGACCAGTTTTCTATAAACCATTTTTTTTCTACTTAAAGGTCCATACAGAAAGCTTTTAAACTGTTTACTTAATTTAAATTATAATCTTACTAGATACATCTGTTACATTCTTCCTTTTTTTGATAACTTAAATTCTTATCGTTTATCAATTTTATTGATACGTGAGATCGCGTAAAGAGTGCATTGTGTTATTAGAACAAATTTAAATATGTCTGAATTATTAAGAATTAGCGACTTAATTAGAAACCAAGATTCGTTTACATTTTCTTTTGAAGTGACCCCAGATGTGGGTGAAGCTGAACTTGATAAGATTACACTTTACCCAAAATTTTATTCTATAACTTGGCATGCTCTGAGCCATCAGTGTAAAGATTTAAATATTGCTCCATTAAAATTAGCAAACTTGCTAAGGCAAAAACATAAACATGTTTTATTAAATTTATCGTGTAATCTTATGACCAAAGCTTATTTAAATGACTTACTCCCATGGCTTCAAGAGAAGGGAATTTGCAATCTGTTTATAGTTTTAGGAGGTATGTATTTTTTATTGCTTATTAATATAGTTAAGCATTTATTTATTTCATTTTTTTTAATTTACAGATTCTTTCAATCCCAATAGATCTGACTTCAAAAATTCCTCTGAAATGATTTCCTATATAAAAACGAAAACATTGGACTATTTTTGTATTGGTGTTGCGGGCTTTCCATACGATGATTGCAAAATAACAGCATTAAAAGAAAAAATAGATCTTGGAGCTGATTTTATAATTTCACAGGCATTTTTCGAAGCAAATATTTATAAGAATTATCTTGAAAAATGTAAAGATGCAAAAATAGACGTGCCCATAATACCCGGGATATTTCCTTTTCAGTCTCAAAAAGAATTGGATATGTTCTTAAAGTTGTGTAAGGTTAAAGTAAGTGAAGAATTTAAGATGAAATTAGAAGGAAAATCGGAAAACGTGATGGATATTATAGAAAATCTTATACTCGATTTACGTAATAATTTGAATGTGAAACATTTCCATTTTTTCACAATAAATAAACTTGGAATAACTTGTGACTTAGTGAAAAAAATTCAATTATCATTATAAAAGAGATCCGAACAGGTTTTTACAATTTTCCATGTTCTGTTTGTCATGAATTTAAAACCGAACAAATATCTTATATTCTTCATATTTCGATTATTTGTTATTGAGATCTCCTCGTATATAACTTTTTTGTAATAAAAAGCCACGTTACGATATTTTAGCCTTATTTATAGCCTCTTCAAATCGTCGTTTTAGCGATTTTTAGGTAAGTATAATGAACATGTGACAGATACAGAGTTAGATTTCAGCTTTACCCTTTGTGTATTAATAAAGCCAAATTATGAAAACTTCTAGAAATTATCAGGACATTAAATGAAAAGTACCTATTAACAAAAAGTGTTTAGGTATTATTGTAATGAGGTAATTACACTGCTTATCGGTTTATCGCCGAAGCGATGGTTTTAAATTTATTAATTTAGAGTATTATATTTAAGATAGGAGGTACTTATATGTATTCGATAAATAATTTGATAAAACAAAAGCAGTAATCGTCAAACCAACAAGGCAGAATTAATTGCTATCGTTTACATTTACGTCTTTTTAAAGATATTATATAACACAATAAAACAGTACTTTTCCAACACATATAATTAGGATTTTTTTGGGGAACACCATTATCCAAACGTTGCTGGTACTAATCCGGCTCGAAGGACCAGTTGTTTAGTACATAACTCATCTGTATAATTTGTGACCAATAAACACAATTTTCCAACTGGACGCCGACATATTCGAACTACGATTATAACTTGCCGTTTCAAACTGTGCAATTATTGCGAAATCCAATACAAAAATTGATTTTTGGACTAAACAACCTGATCTGGAAGTATTTTTCTTGTAATAATGATGAGCTTGCTCGCTTGCTGCTCTGATGACGGCGCCTCTTTTCAAATACTTCGTTATGTTGTTTTATTTTATGATTGGTTTATGAATAATAAATCAAGTATTTCGTGAATATATTTTAATAAGACAGTCCTATATACTGTTTTAACAATCGGCCATGTATATAACATCACAACCAAAAAAAAATAGTACAAAAATCAAATTAACAACTATTTTGCAATTAAGCTCGGTACAGACGCAAACTTCTCCACTACAAAACAGTATGAAAAATCTTAATACTTTAAAAATACCGGACATATTTTTACCTTAACTTTATTGGCGTTTAATCACTGTCAAAAAATTAATCAAATTTGAGCCTTTTAATCAGAACTGTACCTAATGATTCCCGAAATAACATTTTCAAAAACTTAAGTCTGCACCGATCTTGTGAACTATTGAAACTTGAATAACGTTGAATAAAACACGTGTCGTTGCACTACACCTAATTCGTATCGAATTAATTATATAAAATTGTCTACTTATCAAATTAACTTAAATAAAATCGATTAACGTGAACCTATTTTAAAATGACGGAATATTATACACTGGCAATATTTCTAATTGTGTAAAAGCTTCCAAACCACTAATCTACATCGATACATTGTCTACATTAATTGTTGAATTCTACATCAAAAGTTACATTTTATTTCTTACGTATATAAGTTATTGTTACGATTTAATAAAGCTTCGTTCATTGTTATTAAACAATAACCAATTAGCTACATACTACAATCGGCCTTGTATAAACCCATTAAAAACCTTAAGCGCTCACTGTATTATTTTTTTATCTTTTTTCATCAAGATGCGTGAAAGGTGACATGATCAAGAAGGGAGTGTTGGCTGAGATGACGGATGATAGAGTGCTTTGGAGGACGAAAACCCGGTGCGCCGACCCTACGGGAGTAGGATAAGGCAGGGGAGATGATGATGATGATGCGTCAAAACATTTCACAAATAGGTAAATTGTTATTGTTTACGTGGCGCTTTAGGGCAGCTTTTTCTAACAGTGTTAACGAAACATGGTATTGTTAATATAAACAATGATTTATATTAAAAAGGAGTAGAAGTAAAATTGCGAGCGCTTTGATGCCCGCTACCGACGCTCAGTTCTCGACCTGTTCAGTTAAAACTGAACGTCTCTAACGGGTTAAATAAATACAGCAGAACATTTTGAACATAAATTGACTTCTGAAAAGTTTACTGCCGGCTACAAAATGACGTCATCTAATGTGCTATTGTAAGATCTAATTCCCTATGTTTTTAGAGAAGAGAAAATCTATGGACACAAAGCTTGTAGGCCCGGCTAATATATGCAAACGGGATCGATCGAAGGACCAATAAACTCGGATAAAAGATTGATCGTTTTATTACAACACAATTATAATAGATAATTATACGTGTTCGGCAAAAAACCGACGAAATTATTGGACTAATCTTTTGACTTTGTAGGTACATACTAAACTTTTTAATGTTGACTTTGAATTGTATGTATTTTCAATAGCTTGGGATCCCGTTTTATAATCTTTGACGAACATCTAAACTTAATAAGTATTTGATATGTCTACTGAGTAACATTAAATTTATATAAAAACAGTTAACATTACCTACAAAGAAAATTAAACGTTGCCAAAATTAGAGATTAAAAAATTACTATGCCGCCATATTTATTCCGTTCTGTTACCATAGACCTGAATTGACACTGAATTCAGTCTTATTTTCAAACATGTCCCATCTTACGAGGTAGTTTATTTACATAGAAATTAATTTCAACAAAGATAGTCATTTGGAATTGAGTATGCTAATGAGTCAACAGAAAAATTAACAGCTAAATGCATCTCGTATAATTAAAAAAAAAAGAACCATCGATCACTCCAGTTGATTTTTTACGGCTGAATTCATTGATTGTTCAAGAACATTTTTTTCATACTCAAGACAGTAAAATTAAAAAAAACATAGCGTTTAAATTACTACTAATTGAAATATGAACACAAACATGAATACTTCTATTAATACTGTTGGATGTTTTAAACATATAAGACATTGTAAATGGGTTCAATAACAATGGTCCCCGAATTATAGCTTAAAATTATTACTCGCACGTTCTGATGATCGGTTTCAATGTTTTTATTCTATACGCAGAAAATTATTCGAATAATATTTCGTTTTATTGCTTCAATTTTTAAAATATCCATAGAAACGATTACACTAAACTATTCGGCAGTGACTATTTGCAAGCTTTAATAATTCTATTTTCCGATTCCAAATGTCTATCACAATAAACAATAGTAATAAATATAGTACAATACATATAATATATCGTTAGCCAAAATTGTATTTTTTATTCGTAATTACTAAATCTACGCTGGTATTGTCTCAGTGTTTATCTCTATACGATATTTAACAAATCAATAGCAACTTTAAGTTTTATCAAAATTTTCTTTGCGTTTTACATTTAATGTTACCATTTTATTGAAAAAATGGTTGCAATAACGCTTATATGGATTCCATTTGCTCTGTCAACTCCAAAATTGGACTCTCGCTGAGCGGCAACATATTGCTGCTTGGTGGTAGACTGTGGCCTTGCCAAGAGGGCTGAAACAAAATTAAATGTGATTTTATTACAACCGTGCCTTCAATCTACCGTACTCAAATAATATACGCAACTAGAACCTCGATATGTTAAAATATGTCTTCTCTTTCTACCTAATGATACAAATAAGTCGTGCTTCCAGTTTTATATAAGCAATTACTAAAATACAAAGTGAATATATTTGCGTTCTTAGGGTTGTCTACTTCAAATAAAGGCTTACAAGTGGCAACACTAACATCGTAACAGTATAAAGTTGAAATTTAACCTTGGTAGAGCAATAATTGAAAATATCCAATGAGGATAACCCACAGAATATAGAATTAAAATAGATTGGTTAATATTTTTCTCTATTCGTCGTCGTTCTTTTATTATTTATTCAATTAGTGGCGATTCAAAAGTTGTTCCATTCGCCTTCCAAGCAATCTATTTTAGAGATATATTTATATCACTGGTGAAAAAGAGTTCGTAATTAACATACATGATGCATCTTCAAAACCTTAATTCCAGAATAATCTTTGAGTACTAACCTTTTACGGACAACTAATTGTGGTTTAGCTTTTTTGTTGGACACGTACATACATAAATTTGTAATTTAAATCTACTAAGATAAATAAAAATGAACTAGCATGCATTACGTGTCTACGAAAAAGCTAATTTGCAAACAAAAGGTGTGAAAATAAAACAAAGTAATATTATAAATTATACATTTACTTATGATTTAAAATAAAACTTGTTTCTAAGTAAAGCTATCACATCTTACAATATAATTTTATTAGCAAATAATAATAAAACCTCTATACAGACTTTCAAGAGTAGACAAATACGCAAAAATAACTTAAAATTTAATTAATAAATAGATACTTAAGTCTAGGTAAATGAAAATAGCATAACATTGGGGAACAATTTAAAAGAATACATAGGAACATTAATTATTAAAACAGGTATGTTTCCTAAGGTTTGAATACCTTTGGCAAGAGAGAATTAGCAAGTTGAGGCTTTGCCAATTACAATTATATTTTATAGGAATGAATAACATTATGTATAATTAATATAGCCAACTTTACTAACATTTTATTAATATTATGTAGCGTTTAAAAATCATTATCATTTTGATCGAGTAAATAAATACATACGGTAACTTTAAAGCACTAATTATTGTCATGCATTCTAAAGAAGATCCCATATTGAGAGTAACATAATTATGTACATATGAAAATTATTATACTTAATAAATTAATAATAAACAAATACACGCTACAATGAGACCAATGTTCAATCTAGCTGATGCACGAACTAACAGAGCTGCAGTGACGTCACGTCACACCAGTGCAAATGTCATAACTACCGATGCTTCTTCACTATACCATGAGATTTTACTTAAATAAAAATACTAAAAATAAGTTCTTGGTCGGCAATAATTAGCGACAATAACATTTTTGCAAATAATTTAATTTTAATAGCAAAATTTAAATTTGTCTAAAAAAACTTTTTTTAATAACAAGACTTAGTAAACGTGCAAAAAAACAAGGCAAATCTCATGGTAAATGTTTAATTTAAATTGTGTATTTCTACATTCGGAGATCTACTTTAGTTGATCTGTTGGAATACCTGGTAGCAGGCTTGCGGCTGGAACAGGCCCGCGCCCCACTGGCCCGCCCACAGCGCCGGCTCCAGGCCCTCGCGCTCCCCCTCCCGGCCATCCCGCACC